GTAACGTCATAGACTGTGTGGGTTTTTCAGAAGAGGTCCCATTATGTTACTGCTTATTTTAGCTATATATTAGATTGTTAGGATCTTAGAGCCTAATAAATACTTTTGATTTCTTTGCACAGAGCAGCAGTTGGAACGGTCCTTTAAATCACACATAATACAATGAAAGTTGCTGCTTTTAACCGTTTGACACACTTAACAGACATCTAGCTAAAGTGTATCAAGACACCACAGGTCACTCAACACCATCTTTGCATAGTTTTATCAGGTATAACAAACAGACCAGGTTAGAAAAAAGAGAACCATTGTGGGTTTTTGACAGAACATAACAAGCATTTGTTATATTGAAAGTGCAGCCAAGGCAATCTGGAAATATAAAGGCTTTCAAAGTAAAAATACAAATACTTGTAATGACTTTTTGAAAGATTTGTATAGTGGTAGACTAGCGTACCTGCAAAAACATATGTACTGTATTTCATATCCTTATCCAGGCTTGAGAACCAGCATATTTATATGGAATCATCCATAAACAAATTAATTCAATGTTCTTTATAGGCAACAAAAATGAAGTAAATTAAAACAAAAAATCTAATTTGCTAAAATAGAAATCTATATATTAAAATTTGTAGAAGCTTATATCCTTTTTTAAAGGCACACTATGCAACATTTTTCAGTTAATTAATGTGTTCCATAACGTTATGGATGATTAAATGATTCATTTCAGGTTGAACAAAGGTATTCTCGGCCGCCCTGGTGGTCTGTGGGGGAAATACTGCACTTGCAACTGCAGGAGCACCGACCCGCACCCACAGGCTCAGAAGTCTCGTGAGAGTCAGTCTTGCTTTACTGCGAGAACTGCTACATGCCCCCAGTTAAAAGCATTCTCGTTGCTAGCACAGTGGCAATCTTTGTGCAGTTATTATACGTTCACGCAGCAAAAGCAGCAAAATCGCGTCTGCTGCTTCATTTTTACTGCTTGTACCAGTTAGTTCTGACGCGCGGCTGAAGCAGCTTTGCTGCTCTGGCTGTGCGGTGCAAAAGTGTGTCTGAGGTGCATTGGGCGGAGCTTCACTATCCTTTCTCTGCCTTGCAGCTATATTTGCTGTGATCAGTGGGAATAAAGTAGTTTTAATATGTGTTTAAGTGAGAAAATACACCTGAAAACGTAATCAGTGCAGTCAGTTCATTCAAATTATTATCCTGCCTTCAATATTTTTTCCCCCACATACCAGGGATGCGCCGACAGTATGGATCCCTTCATCAGCAGCGGTTCACCAAGACAGCTGGTAGGTGTTTTTCATCTAAATAATCCAAACTGCATATTCTGCCGGCAGATTTCTGCATTTTAAGTTAATTTAGGCATCAATAAACTGTTTAAGAGGAGTGATCATCAGCGCTGTGTCTCTCTCCCTGCGTTAAACGCACCCGACGCGCTGCTTCAGCTGCTCAGACGTGCTGCGCCTGGTGCTCAAAACGAGCCGCGGGACCTTTTGCTGCGCCTTGACGCGCGTCAACCATTGACTTTGCATGTAAACTCGCTGCTTCTGTCGCGCCAGCTGCGTCCGGTGTGAACGCAGCATTAGTCATTCGTTGCGTTCGCCTGTCTGCTAAGCTCAAAACAACCGCGCCTGGCTTGACGGAGAAACCAGGAGAACAGCTGAGCATATTTACGACAGTGCACTTTTACTTTCGCCCTCTGGGGGGAGCCTCGCTGGAAAATCAACTCCGGTTGCATAGTGTACCTTTAAGCTGAGTTTGCTGCATAGGAAAAATCTCAAGAACATGCCAAGGTTTGTTTTTTTTCCTTCTGGATTCTAAAATATTAGAGATGATTTAAATATGTTCAAACTTTTAACGTTAGATGATTTTTTATTCAAAACCTTTGGATAGTTAAATCTGTATTCTGTAACAACACTCGACATAATTTCCATGAATTAATACCTGTTCATCTTATATGATAAAATGGATTTTGTGACATAGATTTATTCGTATTTAACATAAAACAGCTTAAAGTCCTTCAGCCTGTATATAATTATCAGAATGCTTAACAGACATAATCTAAAATTAAAAGTATAATTATATATAATTTTCTGTTATCAATGTATTTAAAGCTATTTCTTACATAGAGCCTCTTGCAGTGTTCACTTTTGGTGCCATGTTGAACCTCTCTTTTAAATTAAGAATAGATGTGGCTTTAATCAGTTTAATTTGATGTGGCCATTTAATATATTCCCATTAGCTCCAACAGGAAGCTAGTGGAGTGTCTGTAATGAACCTTATTAATCACAGCCCTCATTTGGAAAAGTCCCTCTGACCCCCACCCTCTCGCTGTCTTGTCTCTCCACCTGACTCATCCACCCGTCTACCTCCCGTCACGCTCCCCTCCGTCCGTCTGATGAATTTTGTCTGATGATCCACACAGACATATTCAGACTACTGTTTTTTCACTCTGGGTGGCACAGGTGGGCCCCGTCTTCTCCAACATGGCCCTGGCTACAAAGCACCACTCCCTGCCAAGTTGAACCCCCCCTTTGTCCCAGAAACAGAGAAGCTGGAATGGGTTTGACCGTATTGTGGCACACCTGCTTTACCCCCCTCAGCAGATACCCCCCGCCTCGCCTGCCGTTCTGCCTCCGCTGAGCCCCCGCCCTGCGCTGTTAAACCTGTAAAATCCACTGAACTTAGCCGCTGCGATGGCCGCAGCCAAAACAGCATCTGATGTGCCTTATTTGTTGACTGTGTGAGATTAGTTGCAGAGGGTACACGTCGAGGGGCTTACCATGCAGATATGGAGCGGGGCCCCCACCCCTCTATCAAACACCCACCAGCATTGCCAAATAACGGGAAATGGAAGATACTCCAGCTCGTTTAAAGCCCTCGTCACAGTCGGTCAGTGTATATTTGGCTCCTGAGCCAGATTGTCGGGCAGGAACTCTGTCTTTGCAGCAGTGGGTCAGACTTTAACCTTCAGGAGCTCGTCATCCGGACAATGACTGTCCTCGGTAACCAAGTAGATACGCGTCCATGGGGAATCAGGGAGGTTTAAATGTGAAAGAATGTGCTTTCGTTTTCTGCTTAAAGAATGAAGCAGGTGTGCCGCCCAAATGTGTGCACACAGATGAGCAAAGTAATTATTTCAAATCAAATGCAGTGCCAGATCAAACTCAATCAGTCAGTCCAATATCTGCAATCAAAATTAAGATCTACTATTTTATTCTTTTTCTACAAATGTGCTTCTGTGGCAGATGGTCCTGCAGACACAAGTTCCTGCTTAAAAAGCAGAATTCAACCTGCTCAGGCCTCCATATATATAGGAAACATTGCTGGTTTAATACATGATAAAGATGAACAGCAAGCATGTTCAAAAACTCACCTGACCTAAGATCCAGAAAAAATGTAATACTTTCAACACCAAGAACAAAAGCTGGTGCATAATTCTATACATGTTTTATCACTTCCTTCAGAGTCACTTTTAGTTTAATGTTTGGTATTGTTACTAAAGAAATCACACAAATATGTTGTTTCGTCTTCTTTAATCCATGACATTGCTGGATCAGACGGTCACATTGTATATTGATCTTTATCATTGTATATTGTCTAATTAGACCCACACTTTCAGGGAAAAGGTCAGATTGGAGCTGATTTTGTTTTTTAGGTCTATTAAAGGAAGATGAGCAATGTTCCTGCTTAAATATATTCATATATATATATATATATATATATATATATATATATATATATATATATATATATATATATATATATATATATATACATGTATACACAACTCCTTCCACCTCTGTTAAATTAAAGTTGGTTTTAATCCAATCCTTTTTATTCCAGTTCATTTCGATATGCATTCGTAGCTCAAACTTTTCCAGACCCAAAGTGTATATATTTTTTTCTGTAGATTCTCTTTTCAGCATCTAATTGCAAACCTTCACAGTAATATACATTTAAGCTAATTTAGCTAAAATAAACAAATAAGATACTATTGATTATGTCCTTTCAGTTGTTAAGATGCTTATCAGTAGCTTTTTCAAAGTAAGATATGCTTTTAACCTTTTCATCTTACTTGCTTATTTTATGTACACTGTAGGATATTTGATAAGCAAAACCCAAATACGTCAGTTTTCCTATGTTGTGTCAATTTTTTAATTTTGCAATAATGCAAAAGTGTTTAATGGTGTCCCTGAGCTTGAGCTAGAATTCTATTTTGTTTTTTATATCTGTATTGTAAACACATCTCAAAAAGTCACCTTTTTAAAATGTTTGCTGCTTTTAAAGAAGATTTGCATATTTCACAGAAATAGTTCAAAAAAGTTTTTGTTCAAGTTGGTTAAATTGAAAAGTGACACTTACCCACATATACTTGCCTCAATATTACATGTTTGGATCTTTTTATTTTAATATTTGGCTAAATTTCCATTACACTGCTTTCAAGGATTTGTAGCGAGTTTATCTCAGACATTTATAGATATAATTTAGAGTTAGGAAGGTTAGTTTTGTTTGAAATCAGGTTACAGTGAGCATCAATGCACAGAGGAGCAGAATAGGGGTGTGTGTGTGTTTGGTTGAGGGGCTGCAGAGGATTCGCTGTGTGAGAGCTCCCTCTTGGTGTCAGTCAGCCTACTGTTGGTGGGCGAGCTGCAGCCAGAGGCTCAGACAAGCAGCAGGAGCCTGATCTTCACTTTTCTCTCTGCAAAAGGAAATGAAGAAACAGACTTTATTAATGATGAAGCAGGTTCATAAGTTAATGCTTTGTTTTCAACTGTTTAGCTGAATATAGAGTGATTCCATTTCATGTATTTCCAAACTTCCACTGGTCATAAAATAATCTGTTTGCCACCACAGCTTTCTTGCTTTTATATTTTTCTCTTTTTGTTGAAAAAAGGAAAAGAAAGAATAAAAAAAGCAATGTCAAACATGTACACCAGATGTTATAAAGTAAAATTAAAGTTTTAAAGCTAATTTTTTTCCTCCTTTTTTGTCATTTTCAGGGTCGTTGTATGAATTTCAGCCGTGTGCCTCATCAGGGGAGCAGAACTACGGTCTGAGAACCAGCTTGTGCTCATCACTGTGGATGAGATGAGAAAATCAGGGTTATAATGGATTTTAAAATGTTTCTTGCTGCTGGAACCACTACACGTCTACCGGGCCTCACTCTGTACTCAAACTTTCCTCTTCTTTTTTTTTTTTACCCCTGAATCTTTGCAGCATAAAGAGTGACACATTTAACATTTTTAATTTTCTACCGTTAATCCCTTAACTTATTTCCTACCTTTTTCTTATTCAGATTTGTTTTTGTTTTGATATAAAAAAGGGGGGGCATAAGCACACGGCGCCTCAGAGCTCGGCACTCAGACTTTGTTAGCTTTTCATGTGCACCAAAGGCTTAACATATTCTGACCATATTGTGCCTTCTGAAAAAAGAAAAAAAAACTCTTTTCATGGACACAGACGGAAACTATCTTTAAAAAAAGAAAGGAAGGGGCCTGTTGCCTTTGGCGTGGAAGTCGGAATAATCCCAGTGGGCCTCACAAGTGCAGAAGTCCGTTTTCCTTTTGGCAATGTCTCATCTCGACTCTTCTCCAACTTCAGCAGTGCTGGATGCCCGGCGGCTGCCCTTTGACTGGCTCATCCTGTCATTTTATCACTGAGAAGTGCACACACATGACAAATTGTAGACAGGACGCCCCAAGGTATTGAAAGGCACCAAGACTTTGCCCTTTAGTTTTTTTTTTTTATTTAGTTTTTTTTTTTTTTTTTTTTTTTTTTACACATACCATCCCTTTATTATGCGCTCGGGACAAGAAAATTAATAGAGCGTTATCCGACCGCAGGACACTCTTCTGACCGGGACCATCTCCAGCTACGTTTGAGGGATTGATGCCTTCAAGACCTTGACATGGCGCTTGGTGTTTTTTGCCCCTGTTTTGGGTGCAGTCTGCTCTCTGCTCAGTAAGGCGTAGCACATCACTGCCGATAAACAGGCCCATCAGTTAGGACTTAAGCTACAGATACAGCTGTACTCCCTGCCGCTCAGTCTCAATCCTCCGAAGGGCTCCCGGGCCTGCGTCACAACTCGCCTGTTCCCCCAGCACCGGAATATCAAAGTTTAATTAAAATAATTAAAGGCAACAGCAAGCAGCAGCCTGTGAAGACTTGGCTGTCTCCTTTTTATGCCTTTTTGACTTTGAATGACCCATAACTGTGTTATCCACAGCAAAAAAAAGAGGACACAGCGGCGTGGTGACGGTCCACCACGTCCAAAACGCAAACCCAAAGCAACGGATGCGACGGACGGATAAGTATTGTTCATTTCTAGTAATGATGCCCATCGCCCCCCCATCCCTCTTCCCCTCCACCCGGACATCCCCAAAATCTGGGGTTATATATTTATATTTATTGAGGACTTCTCAATCGCGCTGTCATGACGCCAATCTTAAATGATGTTAGTGTGAGCGGAAACACTGTGGGGGAGGAAAGGGGGCAGCAGCTGAAGAAAAAGGCTCGAATGATCTAGTCACTTCGGATACCGTACTTCAGATGCAGAATGGATATTCGAGTCGAAACCTGACAAAGCGTGCCGGCTTTGACGGGAAGCGGTATAGACAATGACCAGTGGCTGGGTCAGTGGGATGTCTCCATGCAAGCAGGGAAGCTTATCAAATGACACTAAAAATAAGTTCAACAACCATCAAGTTTGAGGGGGAATGGGTGCGCATCTCACATTTGGGAGGCAAGAGAGTGTGGACGACTAACCGCGGTCTAATTATTACTTTGTTTCCGCTCCTTACTGATTGGAAGGACATAAATAATTCCAGATCGAATCCTCGGGGTGTGCTGGTATTTCTGTCTGAGTTAAACGCTTTTAGCTCCTTGCATAATTTTACAGGTTGACATTTAGTTCGTCAGACTCTTTCTGAAATTTTAACACGTAGGCGGTGTCTGCTTTATGTTGCCACCAAGTGCTGGAATGCTATTAACCTGGGCTAATGAGGTATTTACATGGCAGTCACAACACAACCAGCCCTTCTAGTAACATGTCACCCACTGAGTCTTCCATACACATTATTGCACACTGTGGTAACACCTATTGCTATTGCTGAAGAAGAATCATACATTTCTGTTTGTTTTTTTTTATTGAGTTTTTTTTCTTTTTGTGTATTTTTCCACTTGTTTTATATGAAATGCTCAGATTTCATAATGCAACTTTTATATTGTATTAACATTTGCAATGATTCTCAAATTCAGATTAAAATGCATGTTTTGTTATTTTTCTCTGCCTTACACACCAATTCGCTCAATAGTAAGCCTTTTATAAAATCATATCATCTGTAAAAATGTAGCTTTATGTATTATTCGCACCTTACAAACCAGATTTCAGTCACACAAATTTCACATGTGTGAGAAGCTGATGTAACAGCAAAAAAAAACATGTTTTTTTTCTTTCTTTGTTTTAATTTTCTTTGCTATTTAAAGCTTATTTCTGGGTGTTTTACACTGTTTTTATTTGCATTTCATTTCAGTGATTTTTACACTCCAATCTGTTGTGTCAAATACACTAAACACAAAAAGCAAACAGTGGGTTTTGTCCTTTTTTTTTCCTCTATTTTTTCTGTCGCTTTATTAACACATGTGTGCTGGTAGGGGTGGACACGCTGAAGGCGATCTTTAATTGGGCCCTTACAGATTTATAGGGCCCGACAGTGAACGTGGTTGTTCTGTGCGCATATGGGTGTGTGTGTGTGTGTGGACGGAGGAGTGGACAATGTGTAGTCTCTCTCCTGGTGAGGTCAGTTACCAGAGGCACTGAATACACAAAATAAATTACACAGAATCCCTCCAAGGTTTTCAGCGCCCCAAAAACAGGCTTTTGCATTTAGTAAAATATATGAACTGGTTTATGTTGTGACAACCTTGTTTTTATTTCTGCATTGCATAAACCTGCATAGTAACCAATCAGCATAGCAAGATGATCATAGTCCTTAATAAATCCCTCTTTTCCCCGAAAATAAGGTTTATAGAATTTTAAACGAATAAAATAGACTTAGTTAAGTCTTGAAAATTATGTAAAGCATGACATTTATTTGTTGTGTTTATTAAGGTTTTATATTTACTGGCAGCCTTGGTGGTCACAATTAAACAAAGTTTAAAATCCAGTAGTTAAGACCAACAGCTCCTGAGCAAAGGTAGTGTCTTTTCTTAATGTATTCTTTTCTGCTCTGCAGCTCTAATACAAATAATATGCCTAATGAAAATTGAGCCTAAAAAAAACTGATATTTCAGGAGAAGCATGCACAGTAATTAAAGGAGATGTATACAGACCCAACATGTATATATCTATTTAAAAAGAAATTGAATATAAGGAGTAAAGACCTTTACCAAATTTTCATCTTTTTTAAACTTAATTATTTTTAACTTTCTCATAAAAAACAACAATTTAAGCAAGCAAATTGATTACATTTTAGAATTTCGGTAGAGGACTAATAATAAAACCTAAAATATTCACATCAAGCAAAATTAATTTGTTTAAAAAAACAACCTTTAAACACAATAAATAAAAGAAAGGTAGACCTAACACTTCCATCGTTTCTTTCCCATGTTTGGGAAAACAGGTACCACCGTTTAATACCTTCCTCTTTGTGTTTAATCCCCAAACCCAAGATTCATCCTTTAAACCTGATCCATTCAAGTGAAGCAGGTTTAGAGGTAAATAAGTTTTACTTTTTGCTGTTATTTTCATCTTTGTATTTATCAGCTAGGCAGTAAAAACGATCACATTTAGAGAAGTTTTACTTGAAAAATTAAGCAGTCCTAATAATTTCTTCTGAATTAACCGTGTAAATTTCACACAAAGAAATGAAAAAAATAACAATTTCACGTGTCGTTCTCTGAAAATAAGCACTTGGAGGACGAAGCCGCTGTGAAGAAAATCTGCTTTGATTATTTTCTGAGAAAAATTTAACAATTCTTTTTTGTTTATTTGCTCAAAGCACAACGATCCGACGACTGTGATGAACTAAAATGTGGTCCAGTTTGTAATCATGTCAGCATTTTTTAGGGCTTTAATCAAACAATTTGGCAACTTGTAACCTCTGTTCACTGAGGTGGTGGTTTGTCTGAGATCACTGTGAAATTCTTGCAAATAAAATTCTGAAGGAACAATAGGCATGCATGCACCTCTTAATAGCTGATTTTATGAAAAAGGTGTGAGGAATCTGTGTTTTCTGACAGTGTTCACTTAATACATAAACTTTTAGTTTAATTTAAAGCTTTAAATATCAGGCTCTAAATCAACAGCAGTTCTGAATCATGCAGGTCTGAGATGAGGGAGTACACTGCAAAAAATATAAATCTCAATAAGTTATTTTTTCTTAAAATAAGTGTGTTTTTCCTTGATTTGAGGAGATAAGTAAGACACTTTGCCAATGGAACAAGACAATTTCCTTTTAAAATAAGAAAAAACTATTTTATCGTCTTATTTCAAGTAAATATTATCTAACTATCTTATTTTAAGAGTGAAAATACTCATTCCATTGGCAAATCATCTTATTTACCTGCTCAAATTAAGGCTAAATATACTTAATTTAAGCCATTTTTTACTTATTTCTGGATTGTTTTTGCAGTGTAGAAAACAGGAAAAATTTGTTTAGATTTTTCTCACAAAATGAATGGACTGAACATTAGTGGCTGATGCAAATTCAAACACTGGTGGGGCTTTTTTTTCTTATAGCCATGTTAGATGTTAGAATTCTTTTGAATATTAATTATAATAAGAGAATTTAAAGGTGATTACAGAAAAAGCTTGATGTGTTTACATACAAAGTTTAAAAAAATTGACATAATGTTGCATTATATTGAACTGTTTTGCAAAAGAAAGATTAAAATAACTAAATCGAAATGGGTTGATTTTTCACTTAGCTTTTCTGTAATACATAAGATTTTTTATAAGTTCTCTGCTGTTATTTGTACACATTTTTATATGTGTTTTACCCTTAAAACCTTATCTAATTATAAAATAATGTGTACATTTCAGTTCTTCCTGTAAAGGAACGATAAACCACTGTCTGGTTTCTGTGTTTACCTGTGCTGGGACATGTAAGAGGTAAGGGATATGGGGTTTCTACTTCAGTATGAGAATGAGGATCTGCAGCACTGAAAGTTGGAAAATAGTGCAGCACACCAAAGCAATGCAAGAGTGGCAGGTAAGAAAAGCCTTAAGGGGCAGATTTTTAACATTACTATGAGCTTATAATTGCATATTTAGAAATGTTGTTCACCCTTGCCTTTCTTTTTTTTTTTTGGGGGGGGGGGGGGTTCATAAAGATTTAACAAAATAAAAGGAGTCTTACTGAAAGAAAAAACAAACAAAAAAAACCTTTTCCAGCTTAACTGTACCCCCCTGTCTACATAAGTACTCCTTAACAATTAAATTATTCTAATTGCAGGGTAGGAGTGGGTTGGCTGACAGCATAAAGGCAATCCAAGGTTTTGTGAAGTTATGGTCATGAAATTAATAAGTTGTTTTTTAATGGTGTTTCTACAATTTAAAACCCTTTTGAAAGAGATGCTAGAAATAGTTTTCTTTGGAAGAATTAAATTAAAAGCACATGGCCCCTACCCACCTGTTGCTGTGCACTGCTGACCAGCTGGCTGAAAAAGACTAACATTTTCCCCTTGCTTGCAGGAGAACAACTTATCTGGATGTATTTCTTTTCTTAACACACAAAGGCAGTCAACCAGAGTGAAAAACCAGCTAATATAAACTTCCTGCTTTTTGTGTTTTTTTTTTTTTTTAAAGACCAGCAAACATCTATAACATGTACTTTAAAACTACTTAGAGATTTTTCCAACATAAAAACTCCATGAATCAAGATAATAAAAACATTGCATTGATAACATTATTACAAAAATGTAACTATTTATTTTATTTACATAAAGGAAACAGAAGATCTTGTTGCTTTAAAGGAAGAAAAATTAAAAACTACTTTTTCTTTTTATTTGAGCAGAATAATGATGGAACTCTGGTCCTTATACCTGTTATTAGCTATCAGCTCTGCCCCTGAGTTTGATAAAAAAATATAAAACAATAATGAAGGATAGGAAATTCAAGAAAAAACACTAAACAAGGTTTCCTAAAAATAAGTAAAATAAATGAAAAGTTAGGAGCAAATCCACATATTTCATTTATGTCCAGTTCACAGTGATTTAGTCACAGTGTAACTGAAAATACTAAATGAAAAGTATTCCAGAACGGCAAAGAAGGTTTGCTTATCCTCTCCAAAATGCTCACCGCACACTTTCACTGTTTTATAATTTCAACAAATAAAAATCGCTTGTGTATTTAATTGCTTTACACCAGAGCCTGTTCATATAGCATGCTGCCACTCAAGCTTATACGTCAGGCAATATGTAAATTCACTCCGTACAAAGAAACACATCGCCATGCATGAACAAACAGAAGAGTTTGGAGATGAAAAAGACATCTGAGAATAGAATAAAGAAGCTGACTTACCCCAAAGATGTTATGTGTTGGAAGAAGCTTAGGGGCTGCAAATATCTTCCTGCAAAGTTATCTTAGAGGAAAATTCACAAATATGATACAAAAGGCCTACATGGCTGAAAAAATGAGGTAGTTTTTATGGCTGAAGTCGGTAAAATCCACAGTCCTGTAGAGAGTGGATCTGACTTTGAAAATGGAACTTATTCAAAATTTTATCTAGGGGACAAAAAAAAAAAAATCCAGTTTGGAATAAGGAATCACATGACCATGGTACAACCAGAAAGTCTTTACTTTCCTCTATTTTTATGACAAGAAAAACCACAAAGCAAACTCCTAAATCCACCCTGAGCTATGCCACAAGGTTCTGTTTTCACAATTTCATGGAGGCAGCTTAGCCACCATTAAATTTCAACCTCTACTTCCCCTGATAAAGTTTCTCTTGCAGCCAGGGAATGGGCTTATGCAGCTGTTGCCTCTCCAAAAGCACCGTCTGGCTTCCCAGGTTATCCCAATTTGCACAGTTGTCTCTGAAATTTGGGTAACTGTGGGATCAAATGCTAAACCGCTGTGCAGCCACTAACCTCTTGAGCCTGAGCCCGGACCCT